TTTCCAGTGATATAAGGTTCTCTCAGCACCTTGTCCTGACTGAAAAATGTTGGGACCTTAGTCTCCTAACTATACACTTAACAGTGTATATTAAATAGCCTAGAACTACAAAGTGGCTCTCCAGCAATTCCCAGCTTGTCCCAGTGTCAGGTTTCGATATAGCACAACTCTAGAAAAGTGAAAAGGACAAAATGAATGACCCATTACTCTAGGGAATTATATATACTGCTGTACTGATGGACTAACTGGGACTAGTGATGGGACTGGCACAATCTTTTTCTGTGATGTACATACACTGTCATCACTTGTAACTTCTGCAGAGTAGTGGGGTCAGTTTTGGTTTTTACTTAGCATGTTGGTAATGTCCTGGTTACCAGAGTATGAACAGGTCTGTATTGAAATTTCAACCCATGTGTTTCTCTATCATATGCCTATCATCTTTTTAGTCCTTCAAGTCTGTAGTTTCAGAGCACTGTAGGCTCCTTAAGCCTATTTTGGCCCTCCTAAATTCAGTTCTCAGGCAAATAGCTGCGTCATGCTTTTATGTATTAATTCGGAATCTTCAGCTGTTTACTTTAGTTTCCATTTTCCATCAGGATTTTTCTCAGATGTCTCTTCTTTCCTGACATTATACATTTGGCTTCTGCATCACTCACAGACTCTTAAATAATTTCATATTTTTTTAAAAATGCATAACATATTTGGGTAGAAGGACCCATCCTCAGTCAGGATTCACAGTATATTGACATGATGAAGTTACTTAAACATTTAGCTTAAGATAATTAAAAGCTATGAAGCATAACAAGTGACATAAACAGATACAGTTGGAAGTAAAGGATGTTCTGATGGTCTTCCTCCTCATTCAGTGCTTAGATGGCAAATATAAATGTTCCTTAAATCTTTCATTTTTCTTTCAGAATCCAGGTTAAAGTTCTAGTGATCTTTTACATCCTAGTTACATCCTTTTTACATCTTTTACTACATCCTAGTTTTCAACTCAGATTATTTCCTCTACCATTTACTCATAATACTTGTGTTCAACAGCCATGGTAGGGAAAAGCACTTAGATGGGATCTTATTTATTCAGTGACAAGTTCCAAATGTTTCTGCATAACAGAACAGACATTATTGTAGTTCCTCCTTTGGCTCCCTAATTCAAACTGAGCTACCTATTACAACAGCTCCTAATTCTTCACATTTCTCTCTCTCTTTTAACATGACATATTTACTATAGTCTGAAGTAACTGATTAAAAACAAAACAAAACCTCAAAACCAAAAAGAAGCAAACAAAAAACCCCAATCTGAATTTACAGGTCAGTTCAAAAAGTTGAATACATCCTCTATGTCATATTCATTGAATAGCCTACTGGTCAGATTACCCAGCTCATAAACTGTAAATTATAAGTCTTTTTTGTGCACAATGAAAGAGATGAACAACAGCATGAAATACGTGAAGCTATGAGTTGTCCAGTACCAAAATGGACAAAAGTCCAATTCCGAGGACTGCAATCAAGAGCTACAGAATTACCATTGACTCAGGTTGCTTCCATGGAATATTCTACAAAAGAATTTATCCAACAAAACCTTGAAGTAGGGGAGTGCTGGTATTGCTATCTACTCACTCCCAGAATAAATAACTCCACTGATCCAGAAAACTGACTACATTTCTTGTAGCTATAAAAATTAATCAAAATTTGATCTGTAGTCTTTTACATTTTTCTCTGCCACTTTTTCTTATATCTGTATGCTTTTCTAAACCTATTTTGCAACAAGTTAAGTTTTTGCACATAGGATTAGAAGGCAGACATAGAACAGTTAAATAATAGTTACTCATTTTTTTCCAGTTTCATTTCTGATCCCCTCATGCATTTTTATGCCTTGGTATTGTAGAAACTCTGCCTTTGTACAGTTATCCTAAGCTGAGTATTGCATCACTCAAAGCCTAGGTAAATCAAGAGTAGAGAGATTAAAAAATGTTACTGCAGCTGTTTATTATTTTTCCCTTGAGGTGACATCAGATATCAAACCCTTGCAATTTTTAAAACTGAGCCAAGGTATATACTGCAGCAGATTGCCCATCTGGTGTGACTTCAGAATATTAAAATCTTCTGCAGGCTATCAGCACACAGACGAGTCAAAATCTTTGCAATCACCCAGACATCTTATTTCACACTACACAGAGTTGTGTGATCTCAAATTAAGATGTTCAAAATCACCATTATTAGTTTGTGATGAATGTTGATCATATCACCCAACCACAACAGTTCTGCATTTCAGCTGTAGCTGTCCAGCCAATACACAGTTACTGAAAAAACGTTTTGTCTGTGATCCAAAATCTTACAGGAAATCAAGAACTGTCATTTACAGAGTGTGAAATCAAACAACTTTCTAGACTCTGTTGAACATTGTCACTGTAGATTAATGCCATACAACTCCTAAGTGATTGCAAAGCCATGATTTACATAGGTTGAATCTGAATGAATATAGCTTGTATAATCTCCCAGTTTAAAATAAATGGTTGTACAATGACAGACTTTGGTTTTAGATACACAGACCACTTTCCTCTATTTCCACCTAAAACATAAGTATTATGTTAATTATAATAATAAATATTGTAAATATATATTTATATAGTATATATAAAAATTATATCCATCTCCACCTCTCTTTCACAAACCATACTAGAAGACATGGGGATAAAATACTCAATTATGAGACTGTGCACATGTATAGTTCAAAGCTAGAAAATACCACGAGTCTGAAAGCTGTATTAAACAATGTAAATTATAAATATATGGATTATTTAGTAAATATGGTGAACAGTGAGAAATTACAACAGGTACTTAGTTACTTCTAGTCTTATTTGAAGAGTGGAAACTTAAATATGGAAATTAAGTATTATTTATTCTGATATATCTGTTCTGGTTAGTTTTCTCATGTAAATGCAGGCAGAAACTCAAAGAAAAAGTATAGAAATCAAATAGAGTTTAGGTGTTCTGGTTTTTGCATGTAACAAAAGTATCAATCTCTGTGTATTAATCAAGATGTTTATTACTGTAAAATGTAAGGGTTCTAGAGCTGTAAGTGTTTTGAATGAAAACAAGGCAATGCCCCCAAAGCTTGCTGTCTCTTTGTAGAAGACAGAAAGGAGATACATATAATATGAGGAGCCACACCTAGCTGTGAGAAAGCCTGTATCTAAAGTCTTCATTTCTATGGGCAGATTGGTGAAGGAACATTCTAAAGAAAGACTTAAAAAATAATAGTGAAGTTGCTTGTGGATGTTTACATGTGACATCTTCAATAGAGTGAATGTCATCTGGGGAGAATGCACAAAGGTACCAGTTCAGAAATCTAACAAATTAATGATGGGACTGCTGTCTTGTACTCACTAGAGAGTTAACTTCTTCACATTGCAAAAATTTCCAAGGTTGAATGGGAAGTTCTGCAGATGAGAAAAATCAATATATTATAACAGAAAAAAAGGGAAAAAATTATAAAAGAGAAGGATGGAATAGATTTTGACAAGAGAATATGTCAGGACACTTAGGTTAGTAGCAGCATCAATCCTTTTAACCACTATCCACGTAAGTCTGTACAACAGGAGAGTACATTTGCAACTTAACACTTCTCACAGTTTGTGAAGTAGTTTAATATCCATACTGATAAAAGCCTGAAGCAAAAGGAGTAAAGGAACGAGTCATTAAACCTTTTAGGGGAAAAAAAATCTGTCTTCAGTTTTCAGACTATCAAAAACTATTTTCAGAGATGTGCAGATTACCTTGGAAGTATCATTATTCAAAATTTTATTCTATGAGGATCACAAGAGAATTTTATTGTTAATTCCAAGGAGTCCTTAACGTTGCTATTAAATATATCTGCGTTTTCTGAATTAATATGAATATGTATAATAAAATCTATTGAAAGAGAGTGAATTTATTGACTGAAAATTGCTGAAATCCCCAGAAGAGTTTGAAAAACTGAGATTTACCTCACTTGCCTTCAGCACATAAAATGTACTCTTCTAGTCTAAGCCAGGTATTGAAGAGTCTTCTATAGTCAGTGAAGACATTGAAGGATCTCCACAGGTTCTTTCCATTTGTTTCGGGAAACTCCACAAAAGAGTTTGGCGTAATAAACACTTGAAGAAAAGTACCAAGATCAGTGTTTACAGAGCCATTGTGCTGTCTACTCTCTTATGTGGTTCCGAATCACGGGTAATCTACTGCCACCACCTGCGTCTCCTAGAACGCTTCCATCAACATACTTTCTCATTTCTCATTTCCATATATAAGCCTGCCTGCTGCTTTTGCTGCAGAGCTCTTTGCCCTGTACACTGCTCTTGTTCCTGTGCATGCTGTTCTTCTGAAAATACTCTGTCTTCGTGCTCTATTCTTAGTTTCAGTGAAGAATGCAAAAGAGTTGACCAGTGTACTGCTCTTAATCATGTACGTTTTGAACCACCTTTGGGACAACATTCTTCCTTTTTTCATGTTGTAGTTTTTATAAAGAAAGCTGTTTGAAAGTAAATATCATCCACCCAAATCCTGTATCTGGACTGTAAGAGCATGGCTGCCTTTATTAATCTTCCAGTATGGTCAACATGGGGCAAGCCTGTGCACATGTTCCTATTCTGTCTCTTTTAATGGGACAAAAGTAAATATTTGTTGGTGCCTTTCTAACTGGAAAACCTGCATCTATCTGAAGTCCAGAGCTGAAGCTCAACATAATGGTAAGCAACTTTATGAGCACTTAGTAGGGTATAGTGATTGACCTTCTTATGAATTCCTTCTTGATTTTTAATCTTGTCTAAGGCTATCCTAACTTCTTTGAGGAGATCCTCAAAGAGGAAATTGGCACCAGCATGATTGTTCAATACAAAGGGAAGTGAACTCATGAATGAAAATGAATACAGTTTTGTAGACAGATAGGGATAAGGAATTACATTATTTTTCAGAAACTGATGGACACATACATAAACATGGACTTTTTCTTTCAGATTAATGGTGGCTGTAGAAGTAACAAGAAAAACCCTTGAGCCTCATGAGGCTATTCATGGGATTCACAAACAGGATGGATTCCTGCATGTATCATATCACATCACAGAAAAGAAGATAGATCTTCACTCTGTCAGATATGAACCCTGCTGATCCCAATCTGCAGTGTGACTTCTGAGCTTCACCTATCTCATCGCTGTGAATATGCTAAATCATCCCTAGACTGTGTCTGACTCTCATTAACTTCACTGGAACTGATCCTGACCCTGATTTTTGGCATGACTTCCTGGCTTGATTTCCTCAGACCTGCTTCATCATCATAAAATTGCCTGACGGTCTGGACGTGGCTACCATCCCTGGGCTGGTCTTTCTTGCCTCGGTTGGGGTCAGTCCTGCTGGCCATAGTATCTCCCTCAGCACCACATACCTTAGGGAGAGCTGGTGCTCACCATGCCCTGACACTTAAACAGAGGCTGAGATTCTGCTCTCTCTAATTTTTTTATTTATGGGGTAACAAAAACTACGTTGACTGCCCTGTGTTTTTCTTGGCAAATATACCTTTGTTTCATAAGTCTTCATTTTGGTTAGGTCGTTGTACAATGAACCAAAACCATCTTGAGACACTATTCCCAATTAAGGGGCACTACTGTAATAATAAAAACACCTGTAATAATTACAACTCCTGTAATAATTTCTCTCACCTGTCCCTTCCCCCCTCACCTTTCCCAAACACATAACTAAGAGCTGGTTGCATCTCCAGGTCCTACAGGATAACCTCTATATCACAATTCAACATAGTCATCTCCCTCATTTCTGCAGAAATACTTTGTAAAAGTAAGTGAAAGCATTCATTTTTCTTAACCAAAAGCTCTCATTTATTATAACATAGGTGAAGGAGAGTGGAAGCTTACGAAGCTTGTTCTGATTCACATCTGTCATAAAACTGCCCCTTAAGAAACTTCTTAAGAAGAAAACCTTAGCTTAGTAGCTATGCTGCACTGGAAGAGTACTCCTGATACAAAGTACACCCTCCAATTACACTCTTCATCTTCCTATGAAAAGAGATGAAGTTTCTATTTAACATAAGAAAGACAGTGCATTGCGCTCTGTAGAAATGTATGACTACATGTGCTAAAATGTCATAAAAATCAGGTTGTTCACTGAAACACGCCAAGGAACAGAGGATCAAAAAGTAATATGCAGATTGAATAGCAACAGAGTGACATCGGTTACCCACAAACTTGCTGATTATGTTTCATATACAATATATTTCAGGAATTTCCCCAAATTATATATATTGTTCTTTGAAATGCGAGGAAGCATTTTTCTTAATGTACATGTACAGTACTTACTGTAGGTGAATATTAAATTGCAATAACCATAAAATGATTATAGCCATTATTCTTGCAAGAGGAAAAACTAGAATGAGAAACTTAAAGATGGATTAGAATAAGAAAATCAGTCAGAGAGAAATAAAAGATATATAAACAAATTATAGTCAATTTTGAGACTTCCTCAATACATAACTAACTCATAAAAAGCATTATATATGCACATACATATATGTGTTTATCTCTCTTTCTCTCTCTCTCTTAAAATGGTACATCTGTCAAAAGAAAATAAGGGATTTCCAAAAGCAAACTATATCATGCCCTAGTAGAAAGCAATATAAATTATCACAAGTAAAAATGACAATCTTAGGAGGAAATTTGGAAAGTGAATAAAAAAAAAATACAGAAGGATATTAAAAAAGGAAAGCTATGAGAAATTCAGAGGGTTATCAAGAAGTAATGGAAAATAATTACATCCCAGAATTCTGGCAGAAGGCTTAAAATCTTTATTGTAAATGGCCTTAAAAAACCCCTCTGTGCTTGGTCACAGTTCTATGGACCCTTATATTCACAAAAATCCTTCAACACAATTTTATCCTCTGAAAACATATTTATTTTCTTTGGGGAAAAAATGACTGTTTGCAATATTTTTACTAGGAACACTTAATAGCATAATGGTAGAATATACAAGGTGTGAACACCTCATTTAGGTGTTTCTTTAGGTGGTTCTGAAAATCCCACACAAAGTATAAAATTATGTAACACAGCCTTTATTGTGGCCCATGACACTCAGACCATTTACAATTTATATCACCTGTTAGGCTTGGCTTAGTCACTTCGACTAAAGTTAGAACTGAAGATAATTTGGCCTATAATTAAATTACAAACCTGAACTTTATAATAATGTAGTATGTAATGTATCCTAAATAGTGCCACAAATCACATCTCCAATATCCTCATAAAGATCCATTTGATGAACTGCATAATGGACTTCTTTACTGATTTTTTCCCATCTAGGCAGTATCTTGAAGGAAGTGTATTAAATTTTCTCAGCTGAATGAGAGGCTAGCTTAAGATCCGTTGTGAGAAATTACTAGCAACATGTAATCCACAATAAATTGATGGAGCAAACTACTTTCCTACTTCTTATATCTTCAGCTTTTACAGGGTGACTTTGAAAGCTTCAAGAAGGAGGATAGTTCTATTCAGACTACAACTACTTCTGAAAGTCCTTAATTTAAATTCTGACTAGAAAAGAGACAAAATAAATACATTGCAGGTAAAATTTTGTTTGATATTTCAAAAAGGTATGACTGATATAAAATCAGTAACAGGATCATGACATACGCTGTCCTCAGGGATGCTTTTCTTGTCTGTACATTCTTGAGTAAAGACAGCTATACAACTGTACCTTCAGGATCTGATAAAACCATTTGCTTTGTTGTTTTCTTCAGTAATAATAAAAAATGTATAGAAGTTTTTTAGACATAACTCCCAGTGAAAAAGTCATTTCAACTTGAGTCCTTTACTTATATGTTTTCTAAATGCCTGGAAATTACTGCCATGCAAAACTGAAAAAGAGCCCTGATGTCCTTTGTGTTTCTCTAAAACCCAAGTATTTTTTATAACTGTTGCAAGGAACATATTGCATTGGCACTTAACACTGATAACATTGTGCAAGTGTGACTGTCCAAGACACCTAGCATAAAGAATAGAGATCAAAGTCAAGAAGATTCCGGTTTCCAAAAGTATTTCTCTCGGTAGCGAAATAAATTGCAAAAAATATGATCATAACACTTTTCTGAAATATGACCATAATACTTCTTTTTATATAAGAAAGGGAAGAAAAGAACTGTTTTCAGAAGACTCTAGTTCAGAGATTTTTAAGAAACAAGAAATGTATGTGCCAAGAGTCTGACTAGTTGAACTTTACCAACTCTGTGATCCAAATGGCACAAAGCTGCTTGTCTCTACAGACAAGCCATTCATTCAACATACCAGGCAAGACAGCATTTTCTTTAATCATCTGTCCTGTCGTAAGTCCCTCCCTACTTCCTGCATAGAGTTTTAGCTATTGATTTTCATTTTTCCTAGTCTATGCCACAAACAGATAGCAGAGTCAACATATTCTACTATAGTGACATTGACACTGACTAAATGACAATCGAGTGATGTTCAAAAAGCCAAAATAATTCTGTTTGTCTTACAGGAAAAAAAACTATAGCAAATTTTCTTGCATAAAACTTTATTACTTGAAGAGAGTATGAATTTTCTCATAAGTGTAACATAAATTTGTTCATTTATTGGTATGATAAACTTGCCAACAGACAGGTTCCTTAATAAAGTTAATAGGTTAGACTAGATGAATTATTTGAGGTTTTATCAACCCATTATCATAATAATGGAATAATATGTTTTGTGAGCCACCTATGCTGTGAAAATTAAGTAACATCTTATCCATAGGTTACATTTTATGATATTACATTGCAATACATTTAAATTATTAATGACCACTGTTGCAATATAAAAATACAACGGTTAAAGGTTTCCTTAGTGTAAGGGGGGTATTTTGAATTAGATGATCAATGGAGCATAGAGGCGTGAGAAAGGAATCATATTAGGATGTGAAACCAGCTAGAGTATGTACAATGTAACTTCATGGCACAAGCTAATTGTAAGGTCCATTGTGCTTTTCAACAAGTCAGCTTGTAAGGTCCATTGTGCTTTTTAGCAAGTCAGCTTGATATTCCCTATTATCAGAGCTGAGTTCTTCCTTGGTTTTGCTACATATTGCAAGATAGATACATCTACCCTTGAAACACAATGGTAGAGGTCATACACAGGGGTGAGAAAGATGATGATGGGAGGAAGATTATGTGGGCAGGGGTCGCTCGCCCCTTGCCCTACGAGTAGGGCATGCGCAGACTGTTGCCATGAGGTGATGATTAGGCGGTGTTTGGCTGCCATTCAGGCATCACCTTACACTGCGTATTGGCCCTACGTAGTGTAATGTGGAACTGATAAAAATGGGGTGTTGGGACTACTGAGTTGAGCGATACTCATCCTGCCACCGAGACTGTGCTGCTCCGCGGGAACACCCGCTAAGCACGGGCACCGACCAGCTGCTGCAGATCCTGACAGCCCTGGCCTGTCTGTGTGGGTAAGCACAGTTTATTGATAGGAAGCAACTGAGAGAACAAACTTTTTAATATCCTTTTAGTGTTCCTTTAATTCTCCTTTTATTATTGAATATTGTTCATAGTATTTCCCTTTAAGTTCCCTTTTTACTAACTAATATCATGTTAATAGTTATCCATAATATTGTGTTAAGATACCTTTTTTTTTGGTATCCCTTTTCACTAGTTAATACTGTATTAAATGCTGTTTGTAGTATTTGTTTTAATGCCACCCGATAAGGTAGTTATTTTGTATCCTTTCTTTTAGTTTTTAATTCCTCTTGCTAAGTTTATTATTATTATTTTTATTCTCACTGTAATAAAAGATATTTTGTGTGTTTGAATATTTCTGGCACTTGTCTTTATTCCGGACATGTATCCAAACGAACTGTTACACTTAGATAAAACAGCATCATTTGCCTCTATAAGACATGAAGACTGGCCATGTTTTTCCAATGTAATTTTTATTGGCGTTGTGAGTTACCCCATCTTGGTGTAACTCCTGTATTAACTGTTTGAATAAGACATTGGGAAAGGTATAACTGTTGAACTGGTATAACTTAAAAATAGCTATGCAAGTTTGAGGGATTTGGGTTAGGATGGCCTGTTTGGTGCTTTTCACAGGAGAAAGAAGAAGCCATTTTCCTGAAAAGACATGTCTGTTTGTCATTTCCTTGCTTCTGCCAAGCCATAGGAACTCTGGCTCTGGAAGGTTTTCCTTGTTATCATACTTAAATAGTGCTAGTATTAAACTTGTATCCTTGCTTTATAAAAACAACAACAACATTGCTGACAAAATCCTTCATAACTTTAGTTACAGTTTAAGAGGATGAACCTAATGAAAGAACAGTTAATTGACTGTTCTATTTTCATCTTATAGGAAAGAATCAGGTGTCTCCAAATGAAATATGGAGAACTGCCTAAACTCAGTCAAATGCCAGCTTTGAAACACTTTGCGCAGGAATTTATTTGAAAAACTGTGTCCCTGGAACAATGAATATTAGGAAGGCTTTTTTTTTTTTTTTAAGACTTGAGTTACAGTATATTAAAAAAACCCAACAGATGGAACAGAATGTTAAAAGCCTAAATAAATCCATCAATCAAAGTTTTGCAAATATTCATGGTTAACTTTACGCACTTACTGTCTCAGACTTTTATAACTGAAAATTTCTCATTCCAGAACAAAAATAATGCAAAATGGCCAAGCTATTTGCATGCCCTGGACAGTATGCATGCTACGTAGAATCTCTGTACAATTTTAATATTACTGATGCATTTCTTTCTCAAAATTTTTTCCTCAGTCATGATTAATCTTGGCCAGCTAAACTGTTGCCAGAGTGTATTTGTTCTGTGGAGCACCTAACAAGCACAAGAGGGGTAGTATAAAATAATAATTGATCAAAAGTACTAACATTTACTTTTGGCTTAGTAAAACTGTCTGATAAATTATTCCCTTTAGTGTTTCTCTGTTATTGCAACACAGTACCTTGAAAGTGATATATTGGCACAAGCCATTGTATTCTACCACAGTGCAATTAGGAGGCCCATTTAAACAGCTTTATCATATGCACACATAGGCTGATTAATTTTCTAATCAAATGTTCCAGGAAATCATTAACCATGACATTAAACAGTGTTCTGCTAATTATACTCTCCATGAAGAATTCCAATATAAATTTACAAAATACCTATAGAAAGCTGCCAAAGGATGAACAGTTTAATGTATACAAATAATTACAGCATCTACCCTGCATAGCGCCAGAGCTCCCTTGTGTTAAAACCCAGCCTTACAAAGGTCCAGTTTGGGGCTGAATTCTGTTTATTCGCCAGAGCTCTGTGTACTGGCAGACGTTACATTTTGTATGTCACCGCCTGTGTAAGTCATGATGAAGGAATGAGATTTTTTTTTATTCTTTTGAAGTCATTGCATTCGGAATAAAAGCCCTTAAGATTATGTGGAAAAGTGAATGCAATTTTTGGGGAGCATTTTATTTTCAGTGCATTCAAGGCAACAGAAAATTATAAAAATAATATGGAAACATGAATATCTTTCTTACTGAATGACAGAAGAGAAAGGAAACTTTTTCTGCTTTAGAAAATACTCTAGAGATATGAATTCTGAGTGTTAGCCTTCCATTTCTTAATGATTCCTAACACTGTGATTTGGAAAGAGTTTTCCCTACATAAGTCTCTGGTTTGCATCATTATTCTAACTACTCTTAATTTAAAATAGAGATAAAAGCAAGGTATTGTATGTAGTAATGAGAATTCAATTGTTTTGCCAAACGTATGCAATTTGACAGTTTATAGCATAATGAAATCTTTATTTATGTATTTTCCCATAAACCAGAGTCTTGGAGGTCTTTCAGTGATGGAAAACAACAGGTTGAATTAAACAAATGCAGAATGTTCGTACACATGTTCTTTTTGCCATGGTAGCACAGCCATGGCATCATGTGACCATCACAAAACAAAAACCTGGCCTGAGAAGGATGATGGAAACACTGCCATTGTTTTGGATAGGGACTATGTCTCTTCTGTGTTATTTCGCTTTCTTAATCTAATACCACCAAGATGGTATAAAAGTAATATTAGAAATATTATTTATATATTTTACATATGTATACATATATTGTTCTCTACCTGAAAGGAGATGGTAGTGAGATGGAGGTCGGTCTCTTCTACGCTGTGCCTGCATTGAGAGGACCAGAGGAAATGGCCTTAAGCTGTGACAGGGGTGATTTGGATTAGATACTAGAAATTTTTTTTTCCCTGTTTGGGGGGGTCAGACTGTGGAATAGGTTGCCCAAGGAAGTGGTGAAGTCACCATCCCTGGAGGTGTTTAAGAGGCACTTGGATCTGGTGCTGGGTGTTTTAGGGGTTACAGTGGCAGTGTTGGGGGGACGCTTGGACTGGATGATCTTAAAGGTCTCTTTCAACCCTGATGATTCTATGATTCCAGACAATAATGTATATTTACCTATAAAAATCAGCACTCTAATTACGTAAGAAGTTTATACAGAAATAGACGAACCACTGTCAAGCAGCGGCTCGAGATATGAAATCGGAATTTTTAACAAAATTAGGAGTTGAAAATTGGCATCCTAGGCCAAACAGGGCAGGGACACGCCTCGCGTTCAGATCCTGCAGAAGAAAAGGCAGCATGTGAGAGGTAAGGAAATACAATCTTCCTTCCAGGGTTACGTGTGTGAAAGTGTATCTTAACGCCTTAGACGGAGGCGGCCGTACCTCAAAGCAGGGCGATTTTCCCATCTCTCGCCGGCACTGTCACAGAGCTGACGGGGGACCACTCCCGTCCCGCTCCCGGCTCTGTTCCCGGCCCTTGCAGTCCGGGGTCCGGGGGGCCGCGCGAGCTTCTCGGGGCGGGGCGTGTGCCCAGATACTCCCGGCCCGCGCGCGAGCCGCTGAATCCGCCGGAGGTTCGGCGCTGAGCCGCAGCCCAACCGGGTAGGCGCCGCGTTCCCGGCCCGGCGGTTGCGGATTGCCGTGCCGGAAACGCGGGGGGGCGGGTGCCGGCAGGTTGGCGGAGGTTCGGACGGGGGAACATTCCCGGGGCTGCGCAGCCGCGGCCGTTGGTGAGGCGGCGCCCTATCCCTGCCCGTGCTCCGGCCAGGTGTGTCGGGATTAGGGCTTGCTCCTCGCTTAAATCCCTTGCTTGCTGCTTTGAGGCGGCGGCTTTAGCGCTTGGAGCCCCCTCCTCCCCGCTGCGCCCTGCCTGCCGGGCCGAGCCCAGCTAAAGCGCACTGAATCGGCAGGCGCCCCAGTCGGGCGGGGGGGCCGCCGCGCTGGGCCCGATTCGCGGGGCAGCGCTCCCCCGCACCCCCGATCCCATTCTATCCCTCCTTGGCCCGGCGGCGCGGCCATGGAGCCGCCGCGGCCCCGTTACTATGCGTGCCCGTCTCGGCCGCCGCGGTCGCGGCGGCGGGAGAACAAGGGGCTCCGTAGGAAGGGCCCGCCGGGCACTGGGAGCGCCGGCGGCCCCGAGGAGGCGGCGGACGGCAGGAAGCCCAAATTCGTAAGTACCAGCCGTCCCGAAACGCCCCCTGCCCCGCGGAGGTGTTGGGCCTGCCGGCCACCCGGCCCCGTGGGGCCCCTCCCTGCCGGGCCTGTGCCGGGGGGCCCGGCCGTGCTGTGACACCGCCACCCCGGGTTGGTCACTGCCGGAGCCCCCCAGAGACGGGGCGGCGGGGTGGGAGTGTATAGTGAAATACTGAATCTTTGACTTTTAAGGGACGTAGTAAAGCTCTCCTCCCTAGCCTTCCGTTTACAAGCTTTTGGCTAGCACACCAAGGAACTGCGGAACTCGAAATGGCTAATAATTGTCTGCAAGATAATGTGTCTGCAAGATGTACTCTAACTAAAGAGTACCCAGAAATAACCAGTTTTTGTTTGGACATTATGAAATTTCCAAGTATGAAGGCTAGGACAAACATATATTCTACAGCCCTTGTATCCATAGGATCAGGTAGGTTGGAAAAGACCTCAAGATCATCAAGTACAACTTATGACTGAACACCACCTTGTGTAGCAGACTGTGGTCCGGTCCACATCTCTGGGAATGGTGACTCCACTACCTCCCTGTGCAGCCCATTCCAATGTCTAATCGCCCTTTCTGTGAAGAAATTCCTCCTAGTGGCCAACCTAAACCTCCCCTGGTACAGCTTGGGGCTATATCTTCCTGTCCTGTTGCTAGTTGCTGGGGAGAAGGGGCCAACATCCAGTTGTACCCAGCAGTATCCACCACAAGCAGAGCAGATGCATCCCTTGCTCATATTTAGGTGATGCACATTAGCCTTTGTTCAACTGTCTCTGAGCCCACCTGCTCTTAGCTGTATTTGTTATGTGCTTACAAAAGAGACACTATAATACTTAACATATATTAGATTCCGAATCATGGGTCTTTTACCACCACCACCTGCGTCTCCTAGAATGCTTCCATCAACGCTGTCTCCGTACAATCCTAAACATCCACTGGTCAGATTATGTGACCAATACATCTGTTCTAGAACAAGCAGCAGTCACAAGTATTGAGGCCATGTTGCTGAGAACACAGCTGCATTGGGCAGGGCACGTCTCCAGTATGGAGGACCACCACCTCCCTAAGATCTTGCTTTATGGTGAACTTGCCACTGGCTGCCGCAAGAGAGGAGCCCCGAAGGAAAGATACAAGGACTCCCTGAAACAACATCTCAGCCTTGGCCATATTGATCACCATAACTGGTCTACTCTGGCCTCCAATCGGGAGGTCTGGAGACACACCATCTAAAACACTGCTGCTGCTTTTGAGAACGCACACAGGATCACTCTCGAGGAGAAAAGACAACGCAGAAAGAATCGTGTCTTGCTGATACCATTCAAGGAGTCTTTCTGCTGTGCCTTTTGCAACCAGACGTGCCTATCTCGCATTGGCCTCTTTAGCCACCAGCACGCTTGTAGCAAATGTGGGTAGAGCCCTCCCCAAATCTTCATTTGCGAAGCCTAGCCGTGATAATAGATTCTTGATTCTAAAGTGTATTTGTGTAATATTCAGTACTTGAGTGTCTGGCACTTGTGCACAGGTTCAAAAAAGATACCCACAAGCGATATCAAACTGTATGCTGGCCAAACCTGTTCTGGAAGGTCACAACTTGCTCCTGGCATTTTATACTGTGGCTGCAGAGATTGCTGTTTGACCTATGTCACTGTGCCTTTCTCTATATGTTAGAATGGGTTTATATGAAACTGACCGAGTGCTGTTTGCTTGTGTTTATAAATGGCTGTGTTTCTACTGGGAGCACATGCATTTTAGTCGTGCAGGTGTCATGGCTGGATGTGCTTTAGTATTTGATCTGTGAGGAAAAAACTTACATGGTCTTCCCAGTCTAAAAGGTTGGATAGTGTTACTGGTATATGACTTGATGGTTGGATTATTGCTCTGGTGAGTAGGAAACATGAATTTGTGTGTGTCTGAGACTGACAAGAGCACTGGGTCAAGAGATTTTACTTATTACTGATACTTTAACTGCCAAGGTCTTATGCAAATAAGATACTGCAATAACTTACCCTTTCCCCCCCCAATTATATGTTAAAACAGAAGTAGGGTGCTACCATCATGTTCAGTTTTGCTAACCATGTGTTAGAATGGCAATACAATAGTTTATACAGAGTATAACCCTGCCAGATATGTTGTAAAAGCCAGTGAGAGTTTTTTCTTAGCTAAGATATGACTGTCTTTTTAGTGAGAGAAGGCCTTCTCTTTGGTGCAGATGAGCTCGTTTGATATATGTTTAGGCTTCCCAGGCTATGCAAGGGTCATTTTGAGAATGTGCCAATGTAGGTATCTGCTGACTGGCTTTTTGTGCTGATTTTTGACCCAGCTACAGAAAATTAAGGGAGTTAAATTTCGGTTTCTGACTTAGTTTTGTAGGGCATAGGTTCATCATGTAGGTAGGTGTGGGATTTTTTAATTTTTTATTTTATTTTATTGTGGCCTGTCCCTGTTTTCCTTGCCCAGCTTCTGAAACTCTTTAAGCAGGGCTGAGTGAGAATGCCCTTAATTCATGAGAATGCTTTGTCAAACTGCAAGTTTGAAAAGCATTTGGCCTTAGGCAGTAGTCCTGCTTTTCATTTTTAAATAATCTCTTAAAGATTTTGTCCTTGGATGATGATAGAAGAGTGATGAATTACAGTTCTTCAAACCTGGATTGTGTTCCAGGTATGCTATTAACTCACTGGGTGACCTTAAGAAGAGTCAGAGTTCAATATTTCTTGAATAGAGTTCAGGATTTTGTCTCTGTCTTCATGTAAACTGTTAAATGGAATAGTTTACAAATGTGAGCTGTGGAATTTAGTGGTCAGTAAAAAGCAGCAGGCTGCTCCATGTCACAAAACCTAAGGAGCTGGTGGAGCTATGAACTATAGTCTCTAATCTCTGGTTTGTCCTGGCTAATAATTTCTGGAGGAGTAGCACACACAGTGGTATAGGTAGAATTATTTTAATAGCTGGGCACATCAATCAGCTTCTTTGATTGGGATGGTTCACTTGAAGGGTACTATGGGATCAACTTTTCATTCTATCATTTCATAAATTTCTGCCCTAAGATATTGCAAGACAGAATATTTATCACTCAGCTATTAAATCTAAAATTGGTAAACTCTCCTTCCTGTCCTCCTCCTGTTGTCTTACAAGACTGGTTTGTTTTTTTTGAGACGGAGATCGTATATCTCCCCTCTTGCTCCCCCAAAAAAGAGAGAAGGATGGATTGAGTAAGTTTGCCGATGAAACCAAGTTGGGTTTGTCTGAGGGTAGGAAGGCTCTGCTGAGGGATCTACACAGTCTGGATTGGTGGACTGAGGTCAACAGTAAGAGGTTTGATAAGGCCAAGTGCTGGGTCCTGTACTTGGGTCACAACAACCCCATAATATCACTACAAGGTGGGGGCAGAGTGGCTGGAAAGCTACCCAGCGGTAAAGGACCTAGGAGTGCTGGTCAACAGCCAGCTGAACATAAGCCAGCAGTGTGCCCAGGTGGCCAAGAAGGCCAGTGGTATCCTGGCCTGTATCAGAAGCAGTGTGGCCAGCTGGACCAGCGCAGTGATTGTCCCCCTCTACTTGGTACTGGTGAGGCCACACCTCCAGTACTGTGTCCTGTTCTGTGCCCCTCAGTTCAGGAAGGATATTGAGGTGCTGGAATGTGTCCAGAGAAGGATGAAGAAACTGTGAAGGGTCTGGAGCACAAACCTTATGAAAAGTGGCTTAGGGAACTGGGTTTTGTTTATTCTGGAGAAAAGGAGGATTGAGGGGGGACCCTAATCATTCTCTACAACTACCTGAAAGGAGGTTGTAGAAGGTGGGGGTCAGTTTCTTCTCCCAGGTGACAAGCAATAGGACAAGAGGAAAGGGCCTCAAGTTATGCCACGGGAGGTGTAGGTTGGATATCAGGTAAACGTTCTTCCCTGAAATGTGGTCAAGCATTGCAGAGGCTGCCCAGGGAAGTGGTTGAGTCACCATCTCATGAGGTATTTATAAGACACGTAGATCTGACACTTAGGCATGTGGCTTAGTGATGGACTTGGTAGTTTATGGTTGGAGTTAATGTTCTTAGAAGTATTTTCTATTTTTGTCACAGAATCACAGAATATTCTGAGTTGGAAGGGACACACAAGAATCACTGAGTTCAGCTCTTAAGTGAATGACCCATATGGGGAGTGAACCCACCACCTTGGTGTTATTAGCACCATGCTCTAACCAGCTGAGCTAATGGGTGTTAACTTGGTTGCATCTAACTCTTTCCATAATACTTCTTCAATGTAATTTTATTAGTTAAATTAGTTTTGCATCAGAATGCTTAAAGCCTACCTCTCACTCCTTAGGCTCTCTGTAATCTAGTCTTAGATTTGGGCTGTGGCCTTTTCTGTGTTTGGGATATTTACAGTGCCATACCTCATGTTACCTTAACTTTATTTCTGATCTGCTGTACATTTGTCAAAGTAAATTGGCTGTTAGATTTATTGACCTCAATTAATTCAGATTGTGCAAGTGTAATTTTCCTCAGTGCACAAGGCTTGAAAATAAGTTCCAAGTTGAACCCTTCCAGTCAATGCAACATATTGATCTGTCATACCAGATATGCTAACTTGAAAAATAATTTGATTCCCTGACAAACCTTGAGGTGAAATTGGATTGCTGGTTGACAAAGGTGGCATCATTAACATGTATCTCTTTTTTTTTTTCCTTCTAAAGAAAACCCTGTTTAACTGAGGAAAATACTGATTTTTAAAACTTGCTGCGTTCAAGGAGTGGTGGGGTGAGAAAGGCTTTGTAATCAACCATAATAACTGTTTGGTCTAATCAAGTGAGGCATTGAAGGACTGCCTTTCTGAATAAACTAGCTTCTCAGAAGAAGTAAATGAGTTTTAAACCTCAGTTTTCTCAGTTCTTTTGCAGAATCATTTTAATTTATTTTTTTTTTAAGGAACGATCCTTAATTTTTAAGCACATATCAGCATGGCTTTGTTCAGCAGGTCTGAGATTTAG